GTAGAAGTAGTAGTAGAAGTACTAGTAGTAGTAGTAGTAGTAGTAGTAGTAGTAGTAGTGGTCGTGGTAGTAGTAGTAGTAGTAGTAGTAGTAGTAGTAGTAGTAGTAGTAGCCTTGTAGTAGTAGCCTTGTAGTAGTAGTAGTAGTAGTAGTAGTAGTAGTAGTAGTAGGGGGGTCCTGCATTTTGAAGCTTGGGGGGGGGGAGCGGGGGGGGAGGGGGGGGGCTTGTATTTCGAGGGGTGGTGGGGGGGGAGGGGGGGCCTTGTATTTCGACGACGGGCTTTTTGCACTCTCACTTCAGGAACCCTTTACAGTGAAGCCTTCCGGGTGCAATCCAAGGTCGGTCGAAGCAAACCCGGTGTTTTCGAAACCATACCTGAAGATGATTTGCTGCTTGGCTGCAGCAAGCCATGTTCTGTGCCCAATCCTCGCATTCGCCATTCTTGCAGACTCTGCATGTCTGGGCCGACCGGTGGCGATTGCACATGTCAGGAGCAGTGTCGTCTCCCATGACCGCGGCAACGATTCTCGGAGTGAGCGATATGCTTCCATGTCCTTATGTGTGAGTGATCCAGCCATCAGATTGTGTCATTCTGTTTCTTCCTCCCTTTTGAGAGAAATCCATGCTCAGCAGATCGAACCAGTCTTCGGGGTGCCCATCACAGGCATGCCTCGTGTCAGAAGCCAGTAGAGCTGCCCATAGCAATGCGAGACTACCTCCTAGCGGCACCGAAAGAAGATCCAACCATCCTGACAATTCATAGCTGGCTTGTTGCACTTCCTGCTGCCATGCACTCCACTCGCGCTATGCAGTAACGATCGCTAGATGGAGGTTGTGTTCTGCAAAGTATGCCTCAGCGTGAGAATGAAGAACGTGACATCTCTGCTAGCACACCATTTTGGCGTTCCGTGTTGAACACGCAGTGCCAAGGATGTCGTTGATCTTGTTCATGGAGAAGCATCGGAGACATCTTTAGGATCCTTCTTGCCCGACGCCTGTTCTGGTTTGTTTTTTGATTGCAGTGACACCGTCTCATTTAGTCCTGCAGTCGATGCTGCTTCTTGCTCGCAGCATTATCTAAACTGCCCGGTCTTTCAGGATCTGACTCCTTCAGGCGTGAGTTTCATGGGTTGTGTTGAAGTGTGACAACACTTGAGCGAATTTAACGTAAGGACAACTTGGAAGCGAAAGCTTTTCCAGATCGGACGAGACACAAACGGAGCACCGACAGTCTGGACAGCATTGTTGCCTGGCTGGTGTGGCTTTGAGTTGGGTGTCATTGCAGTTCATCAAGTTCGGTTGAACTCTATTACCATAGTTCCACGCCCAATGGGGTGTGCACACCTCCTCCGGGGTCTCTGCATGGGACAGGATAATCAAGTCATGTATGCTCCATTACTTATGCAGAGTTGTGGAGTGGTGAAGTGTAAAGGGGTAGTTTTCTGTACAGTCAGTCGTAAAGACGTTTGAATGCCGTCTCAAGCATGTTGGCTCAGGCCTCTGCCCTTGCGAACTTTCTGATTTCTGGGCCTTCGGCTAATTGGTGGGGTTTGGGTTGTCCCGCACACTGGTCAGGGTCTTTGACTGTCCTCCTTCTGGCTTACCTTGCTGGATCCCTTTCGGGCATTATATTGACCCTGTTTGTGTTCCGTGCCTCTCTCCTTTCACCTGCTGCCCGTCAGGCCGTTGAGCAACCTGAGGTTGTCCTTGATAGGCCCCGTGCTCTGAGGCTAAGGGCCTACTTGCATGAGCGAGGTGCGTCGGGACTTGGTTGCCGCTGCGAATCCCTTGCTTCTGCTCTTGCCCGTATAGTCTGGAGGAGGACGACGGTGACTGGGAGGTGGTCCCTCCTCCTGCGGCTGTGCCTTGGCCCCAAACCTCTTCGGGTACCCTAAGCTCCTCTGCCGAGGCCCAATCCCCTCTAGCACCCGTGCGGCACGCCACTGTTCTTTCCTTGCCGGAGGAGGTCCTCTTCCTTGCTCGGAGCCTGCCCCTTGCCTCCCGACAAAACCGGGCCTTACGTGCCTGGCCGCTGGTTTGTGGGAGGTCCTTGCTGGTCGTCAAGATTACCCCGAGGCCTCTGAGCGCATCACGGTCCGCTCTACGATCTACGTTGTCCTTCGTCATCCCTCGCTGCCCTCTGCCAGGGCCTTCCGTGGTTTCCGTGCTTTCAAGAACGTTGTTGGTGCTATTGAGCAAGCATACATGTACTGTTTGCCACAGCTTTCCTACCGCCGCGCGACGCCGACTACCTCTCGTGGTCGCGGCGGGGCTCCGGTGTCCACCTCGGTGTGGCACCTGTGGGGCTGCAAAAAGAAGGCTTCTGACAATCGCCTTAGCATTCGTGCTTTGTCTTCCTGCGACTGCAACTCACACGTTGCCAGATCCTATAGCTCAGAAGCCGGTTGTTAATGATAGTTTTCTCCTTGTGAAGCAGACGTATGTGCCAAGTGGCGATGCGCACATCTCTGCATTCTCATCGCTTGATGCTGTCATTGAGGATTATGATATCACGGTGTTGCATTCAGTGGCATACCCATCGGAGTATGGGGCGTTTAAAGCAGCTGTGCTGCAACTCATTGCATGGTTTGCCAAAACCACGATCTTGGCATGGAATTTGATGTGGAAGTACTCACTCAATGCTGCAAGTGAGCACATGCATTCCTCTGACGTGCAGATATGCCGTGCTCGCTTTGTTGGCAAGAGAAGGGTCAAAGCTGCTCGCAGATTTTGGGTTGACACGTTGCACCGTGCCGCGCGTTATTCTGCCAACTTGAATAAGCAGCAGCTGTTCGAATCGTGCGCTGGCTCCTTTGATAGTCAGCCCTGCCTGCCTTTCGTTTATAGGGGTGGGGGTAGGAAACCTTCCGCTAGAAAACGAAAGGAACAGATCATCTTCGATGGTGTTTGCAAGTTGCTTCAA